GAAGATATGTAGGTTGGCTCAGGGACCATCTTGGTATCGACACAAAGCAGATTTATTACCAAGATAAGACGAGCTTATTGTATTTTTCAGAGGGAGTTGTCTGAATGTCTTAAAGCACAGGTGTAAGGGCTCACATGTTAGCATGACCGCATGACTCTAAGTCTTGTTAAAAACCAACTTGGCCACGAAGCTGCTGCTGTTGCAACCTGTGCAATCCGTCAAAAATATCAAGTATGCAAACGGTGATTGATGGCGTACGATGCCAGCACTGGTTTACGCCATCTAATCTATCACTTATCATTTCAGTCCTCTCTGTGATTGAGGGGACGATTCATGTCAGTTGTTTACAAATGACCTCTATCTCTGTGTAATGTAATGCATAATAAACGTCATCAATCATTAGCAGCGGAGATGCATTGCGGTTGGACATACTGTCCTGTAACCATGAGGTCATGCATACTATTTTACAGCCAGTCCTCTATGACAGTGTTTCCCAAACTATTTGTCTCTTTTAAAAACTCTTTTAAAACTGACAAACCATCGCAACCAAATTCACAACAGGCAGACTGATTCTGTTATATGATATGTAATATATAAATTATGCTAATAATTAGTTAATTGATGCATGAAAGAGTTTAGCAGATGTGCCCCCCCCCCCCCCCTCAAGCATAACACTCACAGAGAGTTAAAGCACAGGGGCTTTGGAGAAGCTGTTAAGCGATAAGAAGTGATAAGCGACCACTATTTCTCCCCTTGATGAAGTTGATCAGCAGTCCTGAATTGCGATTAGAGCGGGGTCGATTTCACTCCTTGGCGGTGTGTTCAGAATGAGATGGAGACTGGTTTGAGCCTCGTTATTGTTATCAGTGATGGACTTAAGTTTCTCCATCTGGTGCAAGAGAGTTACAGCTTGTAATGTGATAGAATCAGCACCCACTCACCCTAGGTAATATAGGTATATTTCAGCTTCATTGTGGAGAGCGCCAGTGATGTAGTAAATATGTCTGTGATCATAACTGCCTGGCTTTTCAGACACTCTAAACTTTTCATATATTAAAGTTCTGTCAGCTGGAAAGCGGTGATGGAATTGAGAAGGTAATATATTGGGCTTTAATAAGACTAAAATGGTGGAGGTGCACTTGTTCTCTCTGTAGGATTCAGGTTTTAATACCAGGATCTGCCCTGTGAGGTCAGACAATCTGTGCCACCATCATGTGCAATCCATTTTTGTAGCATTGGCATGGCAATCTTTCCTCTCCCTTCTTTTCAGTGATTTTCCTCATCCGGTGGTTATTTTCAGAGATAAAAAGGTGTAAACCCCCTGCGAGAAAAATGTCCACCCAGTGCAAACACATTTGGGGTGCAGGGATGTGAGAAGCACAAATCTCTGTTTCTTTTTTCTTTTGAAAGAGTGTAGTGAGTACACACACAGACTCACACACAGCTGGAAGTGTGTTATATCTGTTGTTGGATTTTTCTTGGTCTGTTTTACTCAATGATTAAAAGTTGGAGATGGCTCAGCTGTTATCATTTTGTTTGGAACTTTGGTCACATGATATCAGGTTGTTGTGCATGAGGGAGGGAGAGATGGTACCCCCCCCCCCCGGCTCAGTTCAAAGATGGGTGATCTTTCTTTTTGATAAAAGACTTCGATGCCACCCAAAAACGTATTTGTTTTACAGTGACTGTCAAGTCAAATCTGTTTGGTTATTGTAAGATTTGTATGTCATATTTTACAACTTTACCTCATTCTGTGCAGCATACAACACCTTCTCTCCATAGACCCTTCTGATTCTGATTCTGATTAGATAAGAAAGTCCTCCAAAAAACCTCAGGAAGAGCAACTGAGGATGGATCCCTCTCCCTGGATGAACAGACATCCACTATATGCTGTGTGTGCTAAACAGACCAACAAGTCAATTACCGTAGAGACAATCAGGATGACAAAATCATTTATGTTGTTGGCCATCGTCATCATCTTATTTTAACTTTTTCCAGCCGTCCATTGACTGAGCACTGACAACTGAGCTGTCTCCATGACAACTGAGCAATCTCCATCCACTGATTAGCTGCGACTTCTCCACATCTCTTTATTTCCTGTGCAGCTTTGGTCCCTCCCTCTCTGTCCCTCAGTCCTGCAAGTCAACTTACTTCACTGTAGCTGATACTAGCACGCATTTGAAATATAATTTGTACGGTGGTCAATGAGAAGCTGTTTATTCATTTATTTTGTTAATGGTAAATGAGATGAGATAAACATTATTCATCCCAGGGGAAGTTGTTGTGCAGCAGTTGCGATTCAGAGTGGAAATATACAGAGTGCAAATAAACAAAATATAAACAATAAAGGTTATCAATAAGGTGCAAAAATGAAATGCACACAATGCCATCAATGTGACAGGATAACGGTAATTGTCATGAATATAAATAGGTTAACGGTAAGATGCAAATTCTAAATATTGACATGTCAAAAGTAAAAAGTAAAAATCAGTAAAGCAGTCAAAATAACGCTAGCTCCATGCTCGTTAGCTAAGACTCCCTGTTGCTGTCTTTACTTAGTTTAATGCTGCCACATCCATTTAGAACTGTTCTCAAACACATGCGTAATCGGTGTCTGGTTGCTAAAATAGTCACTCACCTGTTTGTTTCTCAGAATTGCTGCAGACCTTTTTGTCTTTTTGAAACCACAGAGCAGATATGTGGTTGGTTTGGTCAACCATGTGGGTTTATTCATCCCAGCAACCCAGACAGCAATTTGATGTTGTTTTTCAGGAAACCTTCAGATGAGTCATCACGTGAGACATTCTGAGTGTTTTCAGATAAGCAAGGCGTAGTGGAAGTGTTTGCAGGGAAAGAGTATTTTTGTGTCCTTGAAGTTGAGATTAGTGGAGGTGAGATTCTACCAAACAAAGAGGACAATAGTCTCGTATCTATTGGAAAATGGCTTTTTTTCTTTTACTTTGTCTGAAAAAAACAAACTGAAACCAGCTAGAGCAGAGATAAGGCGTGTGACATTTCCAGATCCGGCTTTATCTGATTTGCTCTTTATCAATTGGATGTCGACAGTGATCGTTGTTGTTGTTGGTCACTGCGATAAAGGGGCCAATTGGCTTATCTGGCATTTAAGAAATCCAGCCAGAGAGTGACCTCAGAGATGGATCGGGTCCAACAAACGACCCAGCGACACTGGCTGTCCATTAACTGTAGAATGGCAGTCTTACAGTAAAAGCATCCTCTCTCTCCGTCCTCAGACATCGCCTCCCCGAGCAGACCTCATTACCGGGAGACTGCAGGTGTTCCACTCCAGTTGAGTGACGACCGATTTCATTAGCTCCCTCAAGTGACGATCTGTCCTCCGATAGGACGGCGAGAGACGGGCGACTGCCCGTGCGCCTCATGTGGTCCCATTGGTTCTCGCTTGAGTTCAGTATCCGGGACAAGGATGCTGTGGAGGAATTTTCGGCGTAAGGTGTTGGGATGATTGAGATTCAGGCAGGGTAGCGCGTGAGTTCACCTTGGGGATTAAACAGTTGTTGGCTCTGCTCAGACCAGGGACACTGGGACGACTACTGCTGACGATACGGAGGGACGAGCACGGACAAGAGTTGAGAAGGAGGTGAAGGCAGGGAGTGAAGGAGAAGGAGGGGAAGATTGCGCCTTTTTCCTCCTCCTGTTTCCGTCTCGTACAAACGCAGGCAGACACAGACCCCGAAGCTGTGACTTTGAAGTGGTGTCTTTGATTAAGGAGTTAATTACAGAGAAGCTGCATGCTAGCGAGCAGATAACTTGGAAGAGACAAGGAACAGGAAAAGAGGAGCAGATACAGAGCGGAGAAGTGATATTGGCAGCTCATCAGTTTCTCAAGATCAGGAGTGTCAGCCTTCTGATTGGCAGAGAAGCCAGCTGGCACACTGGGGACGGATATGAAAGCTGAAAATGAAAAAGAAACCAAAAACCTGCCTCCCACATGTGTGAACGTCACAGTTTCTGTCCTGCTGCAAGCTGTGGTGTTAGTGTCACAAAGCATGGATGATAATGGATGATGTGACAGAAGGAAGAAGGAAGGATGATAATTTATACATTCGGGATGAAAAGACTGATGGTTCGTTCCGTGTATGTGGGTGTTATTAATGTTCTTTTCCTGTCCGCCATGATCGGTTTCCTGCCATTGTCTCCTCCCTAACCCTCCTGCTCCTCACCGTCACCTCTGGGCCTTTGCGATTATCTTCCCTCTTTCCTCCCTGTCCTTCACTTCTTCCTCCTACTTTCCTGTTGTCTCCTCCTCCTTCATCAACCACCGTCATCCTCGCAGTTTCAGAAAGCCATGCCAGACATCTGCCTGTCCACATCCTCCACATCCCCCTCTCTCCATCCTCTCCATATTTTACACCTTCCACATTTTTGCTTTTCTCCTCCCTCTCTCCCATTCTTCCTCACAACCTTCCCATCACATCAGAATCAAGTGTATTGCCAAGTTTTTCACATACTAGAAATTTGCCTTGGTGTTTAGTGCATACAACAAACATATTAGATGTAATGCAAAAGTCAAGAAACGTAAATATAGAATAGAAAAAATACAATAAAATTATGAAAGAATTATATAATTATAAATAATATGACTGTTTTATAATGACAGTTTTTAATATGGTTATGTGCAAAAGAATATGTGAAATGTCAAGAGATTATAGTCCACCATCCACTATCCTCTTCTCATTTTTCACTCCTTTCCACCCTCCTCTTCACCATTACTTCCCCTCTAAACCGTCATCCTCGCCACCTCTCCCTGTCTCTATAAAATCTTACATTACAGCTGCTGACATTCACCTCTACTGTATGATTGTCTTCCTGACCGTCCTTTTTCTCTCACTCCATCACCCACAAAAAAAAGATGGATTTATTAGAAAAAACAAAACAATAAATGCATTGAAAAATGGAACAACAAAAATAAACGTCTTCTCCATCTCTTGTCTTTTTCTTCCCCTCTCCTCCATCTACTCCAGCCTGGCTTTTACAAAGGCGTGGCGGGCTCACAGGTCACCCTGTCCAGCCTGGTGAACCAGTCGCGGGCCATGCTGGAGGAGCAGGCGCGCCACTTGCTGACAGAGGCGGAGCGTCAGACCATGGGCTACTACGTGGAGGAGTACCGGGACGGACACATCGGCGTGGAGCAGCTGGTCGTGGCTCTGTTCGAGCTGCTCAACACGCACGCTAAGGTGAAGGAGGTGGAGGCTTGTTTGAGAAAGGAAAGATCAAAAGATAATCAATCTTCTTTCGGAAGCACTCTGTGCTCCTGTACAGTCTCTGTGTGGGATTGCTGCAAGGTTTGAATTGAAGTTTTCTAAGCCCTTTTGAGATTCATACCCGGCTTTTTGCTGATGTTTACAGTACTGTTTTGTTTTCCCTTCATCCCCTGCTCTTAAGTTTTTTCTCACAGCAGTCTGCAGTAGTTCACCTTGTAAAAAAACACAATAAATCAAAGGCGTTTATTTCATAATTCTTACGAACATTGGTGTATCACACAGCCACAGAAAGCTTCTCCAGCTGCCTTGTACTATATCTAGAGCTACTGTGCAAATCCCTACTGGATGGGTTGTTTTGGTGTTAGGTTTTGTTTTTATTGTACAAAGGTGGACCAAATTAATCTAAAATAAGATTGGGGCTGGAACTTAATATAGATTTAGTGGGAAATTTAAACGTAATCCCACCAGCATCGCACAAAACTCAGTTTAACAATTTAAACCAAAGTTGTTGTTTAAATCGCCGGAGAATACAGTTTATTCTAGAGTGATGGAGCTCCAGATTGTATAACAAAAGCCATAAATAGGACAATCTGTTTTGAAAAAAACAACAACATGTATTTATCTGTTATTCATACCAACAACTTTAAATGATCATTGCCTGGTTAGATATACATTTCTCTTCTTATAAAAGCACTCTTATGGTTGAGCTGTCATTCTGTTTTGTTTTCAGAGGATGAAATAATTCAGAAACCTCAGGGCAATGCTCTCATCTCACAAATGCAGATATTCTTCAAGTTCAAGCTCCATCTCGATTGTAATCTGGGTTCGGAGAGGATTGAACCGACATTTAAGCAAAGACTTAAAGACTTGTTTGGTCGAAAATAAGGTTCACAGTTTTGGTGAAACAGAATTGTAAGAGAAAAAGTGACTCAGCCCTTAAGGTTTATCTTGACAGCCGCTCAAAGTCTGTGACATCATACCTTTGCCTCTTGATTCCCCCCCTCTGTACCCCCCTTCAGTTCTCTCTGCTGTCAGAGGTGCGAGGCCTGGTCACCCCACAGGACCTGGAGCACTTTGACGGGCTGGTGCTGAGACGGGAAATTCAGGCTCTAAAAGCGCGACAGGGGACAGCTGGAGCCTCTGCGCTCCAACCAGACTCCATGTCCATGGTGTCGTACCCAGACACCCTGACCTCGTCTTCGGCCAGCTTCATGACCAACACCACCCTCAGCTCTGCGCGGGTAGGCTGGGCTCATCATAACAATATAGCTCCTAATGATATAATTAGTGTGTGTGCGTGGGAATATAAAATGTGTCCATATGTGGATATTTTTGGGGAGAAAATTGTCGCCCTCTTCGCTTAGAATTAATATTCCACGTGCTGCTGTTTTTCTGGCATGTTTGAAAGTGCAGCAACAGCTCAGTCTGGGACAAACGATTTTGATGGATGGACCTGAATGTTGCTGTTCTATTTTTCTGGTCTGCCTCCCTGTCTGGGTTGTTCGGATGTGTGTGTGTGTGTGTGTGTGTGTGTGTGTGGGAGAGAGAGATGGAGGCAGAGAGGTTAGTGCGATATATTTCCATGAATTACAACACTCTGCTGTAGAAAAGATCCTGCTGTGGAGTGGACTTTGTGGGGCTGAACAATGACACATTTCAATGCCTTCCTGTTGAGATTGAAAAGTCTTTCGACTAACATTTGATCGGTTGTCTTCTACCTCAATAACCCCCTCACCCCAAAACCCTCTCCCCCTCTGTAGGAAAGGCTGCTGTGGCTGATAGATATGATGGAGGTAGGAGTCGCTGCTGAAAGTGATGAATGCTTTCCAACATAAACCCACAGGACACACACTAAACAAGGGGGTGTAAAGTTCCTTGTGGGTACCAGACATACATACATATCGACGCTCACCTTGGTTTGTGGTTTTGCTGTGAATTTGTTTGCAGTGTTTTTCTTCTGTTGTTTTTCCCTTCCTCTGCCACGATTTGGACAATATCGGCAGTGCTTTCAGAAAAAGTGTCTCCACAGTCCTAATGAACAACAGTCCTAATAGTACCAATAGTCTCTGGTAAGGTTTGTGTGGCTTAGATCACTGCTACAAAGAGAAAAGATCATCTTTGAGTATATTGAGCAGCAGGCCGACCATGTTTCTTGCTCGTGCCCAGGAGAGGATCTCCAAGACAAAAATGTTAAAGTTCTGATCTTACAGTCGCGTGACAGCCCAAACCCTCTTTTGCATTATAGTGAGGTTTGAGTAACATTGTTTTCGACCAACATATCAAGCTTTTATATGACTCTAGACCCAGGGCCCGGGAGTTCTCCCGATGTCGGCAGCTCTGTTGAGAAGTGTCAAACACAGTTGATTTATTATTGTTATTGCATTTTCCAAATTTCTGGCGTTTCCACTCTATTTTCATGTGCATAAAACAGGTGGATCGATACATTACAATAATAATCATTTATACTAAATTCTCACTTTTTACATTTTCACTTGATCAGTATTTATTTTAAATTATGAAACAGCGACCGCCCCTCCTCATCTCTTCTGTTTGTTTCCAATCATATCAGGAGAATACTGGACAGCGTTTTGTTCAGTTCAGTTTACACACGAGGCAACAATTCAAAAGCAAACGTGTTAGTTTGTAGCAAATGTCTCAGCATCCAAGTGTTTGGGTGTATACAAAGACGACGAACTGCAGAGAGGAACAAACACACACATACACACACACACACACACACAGTGTCTAAGCTGACAGCGGACAAAAGCTGTTGACTGTTTGCAGATTTTTCCACCAACCAGTGTCTTCCCTTCAGATGCATCAGATCGGTTTTCTTTGTCGTCCCCTCCGAGAAGCGACATTTACGTGTGTGTGTGTGTGTGTGTGTGTGTGTGTTGGTCTTTATTCTACCCATGCATCTGTGTGTGTTTGTTTGTGCTGTTTTGGACCCATGGGTGACTGCTACCACTGCTGCGTGAAGCAGATTAGAGAGCTGGGTGGGTTTGGGAGGATAAAAATACTGGATTTTTGAAACGCACTCGGAGCCAGGTATACAGTCAACTGCATACCAATACATGTGCACTCACACACACACAAACACACATTATGGAGACACTGTTTCAGCTTGCCGGACAAACACAATGTTGCTGTTGGATGATTCTGCAAAATCTCAGATTACTTGCATTAAATGACGTTATTTCTTAAGATTCAGCAAAAATGTTTTCTTATCCTACTAATATCAGTATGCTTGAGATATTGTTAAGTGTAGGCAACTATCTAAACTACTTTCAAAAAGCCGAAAGAAAGAACCATCATGATTATGTGTCTGAGATGGGCTGTGAAAACACAAGGCTTCTGTGTGTTCCAGGCCTCGTTCAGAACAAATACATGCACCTTCCAGGTACAATACCATGCAGTCATTCTAGGGTTCATCACGCGATTGTCATGATGAAGTATCCACTTCAGTCTCATGAAACTCATGAATCTTTACTCAAACTGTTCCTCCTGTGTCATATTTTAACTTCTCACCAACACCTTCCACAATCAGGCAGATCAGTAGTGTTTGTAATCACAATTGCTTCCACTGTTGACGCAGTTTCACATCTGTGATCCGATCATGCACATCTTGAGTCATTTGCTGCTTCTCATAAAACATAAATCAGAGCTAGAAGTTCAGCCTAGCTCTTCAATCTAGATTGCACATAATTTGTCTTTAAAGATGGCCTCTATGTCAGTTAAGTGATCATGTTCCCTTTAAATCGGTTCTGAAAAGTGAAGCCAAGGTTGAAGAGTCTTAAACTTGTATTTAACTCCTCCGGTTGCAAAAAGTCTGTTTGTATAGAAGTCTGTGAGAAAATGACTCTACTTCTCTCTTGATTTATTACCTCAGTAAACATTGTGAACACGAGTTTATGGTCTCAATCTCTAGTTTCAAGTCTTGTTCAATACAGCATGATGTTCATTTAGTAAATTATGCTCCATTTAGAGTCAAATGGACCATAAAGCAGGGTATGCTTTAGGGGCAATCATGCTTATGATTGACAGGTGGATACCACGGTCCTGGAGTTGTCCGTGTTTTCGTCTCACAACTTTAACCCTTTCACGGTGTGTTTTTATTCATAAAAGTGAATTGTAACGCCTAAAAATGTCTCATTCAGCGTTCGGTTGTACTTAGCTCCACCCTCTCCTGTCACTTCCGGTTTTAAAAAAGCAAGATGGCGGCGGGCAATATGCCGAACTCAAGGCTTTAAAACCGTAGTCCACAAAACCTTCACGGTCACATGTCCATTTCTTATATACAGGCTATGTCTGAGAGACATGTCAGCCTACACATAGATCTAATTATAGTTTGCGGCAACAACCGTTGCATCCAAAGTGTCACGGAGCATGTTAGACAGAGTCAAACCTTGCAAGAAAAGAGGCAAAAAGTCTGACATCCTTGTCTTTTTCGTTGAGGTGTCACAGACGCCAAATTGGTTGTTTTCCACTATAACAAACTACACAGCGCAGATTTTTGTCTCCAAAAGTTTTTGGTTCTTCTTATCCCAGCAGTCAAACACAATAAACAGCACCCCAAATGTTATGTTTTACCCCAACACATAACAACCTACTACTTCCTGCATTGAGCATTGGCATTGGATGTAATTTCTGCAGTCTTGCCTGATGTGATTGCTGTGTAGACTGAGAGACACACATGCAAACACGGCGCGCTCTGACTGCATACGGTGCAGAGCAGCGTCTCCCCGTGTAGAAAGCCGATCGACTTTTTTGATGAATAAATTGTCTGTAAATGCACGCCGTGCGGCAACAAGGGGTAATTAAGCTGAATTGATGTTGCTTTTGTTTTGGTTTAGTGGCAGAGTTAAATGAAGGGCAGCGTTTCTCTGAACTCAGCTCCTCTGCTCTGAAATCACTCACAGATCTGCTGCAAATTGCCTCCTCTACTCCACCACGGCGGTGGGATTGAGCTGCCAAATCCAGCTTCCAACTCAGCTGATGATTCTCTATTGATTTCCCGGTGTGTGTGTGAGTGGGTGTGTGTGTGTGTGTGCGTGCTCATGTCTTATTTGCTTGCCTTCCTTATAAGCTTTAGGATTGACAAGCGCATGCGAATACACATTGACGTCCTTCCTTTTTTCAAGAAGATGTGGAATCTCATTTGGCATTTGTTGTGGTTCAAACGCACATCTGCGTTTAACATCTGCTCACAAGCGTTTTCTTCTGTCTTTTCTCCCTTTCATCACCCGCTCCTCTTCCTCTTTCTCTTTCACTGCTGCACCTCTTGTCCCTCTTCCTCCATTTCTTTCCTGTGTCTCTCAGAACAACAGCGTGGTGGAGAGTAATGAGCAGGGTCCTCCGGAGAGTCTGAACACGCTGCTGACCGACATCTCTCTGGTGAGCCGGGCAGACAGGCACAACCCATGCTTTGCCCTGATAGAAGACGGATGCGACACTGGGGAGAAGTGAGGGAGGTGGGGGAAGAAAATGGGGGGGGGGGGAGTTAGGGACAGATGAAGGTACCTGAAACGTCACGTTGCTGACCTGCAGGCTTTGTATTGGAGTGGTACCACCAAATGAGAACAAGAGAAAGAAAGATAAGTAGTGAGTACGTGTCAGTCTAGCCTTTCTTCATCTTTTCCTTGTTGTGTGGAAAGAGAAGAAACTGATCACTATAGGCCACCTGGCATGTCCAATTTTTCCATCTATCTCTCCATCTCTGCAATGAGGAGGAGCTTACGGTTGCACGTTAAGGTAAAAAAAAAGTTTGCAGTTTCCAAAGCAACATGAGATATCGAGAGCAGGAGATAAGAGGGTCAAGGAGGAGGTTTTTGTCTGCAGTCGTCCAAGGCTACCTGCCACTCAAATCATACCTTACTTTTCTTTTGTACACTTTCTTTTACACACATTTGGTGTCTCTTTTCATACACTCATGTCTCTGTGTTCATCCCACTGTTCGGTTTGTGTTTGAGCACCCTAACATTCAAACACAGGATCCCAGCGGAATTCACACAGCAAGCAGCGACCTGTCCGATGTGGTTTGCATTCATTAAACTTCCTCGAGACAGCTGTTATTGTCACTAAAACCAGTGGTGTGGTTTCACTGGTGTCTAAGTTGTGTGAGTGAATATTGGTTGGAATTAGAAAGACAGAATATGAACATTTGGTTTAAACTTCGTGTTAATTTACTTTCTCTGCAAGTTGCAAATTAGGGGTCGAGTGTAACTATACAGTTAGGTACACAGGGTTCAAAGTTAGAAATAAAACAAAAAAACATATTTATACCCCTTTGCATGTCACATCTGCACATTTTTAACCAATTGTTAAATGGTCATCCACTGCTAATGATGATAATACATTTTATTTGTATAGCGCTTTAAAAGGTACTCAAAGGCACTTTACATGGTAAAAACAGAAACAATGAAAGCAATAACAATATAATCAAGGCAGATGGATCACATTATAAAAGTAAGAAACGAAACAAAAACATACATAACTAGCATCGCAGGTTAAAAGCAGATTTAAATAGATGAGTTTTAAGTGCAGTTTTGAAAGTGGCAAGTGACCGAAATGCCACTGCTATATGCATTTTCCTATCTCAACTTTTCTTTGCAAAATAAGTGTCCTTGTTCTGTAAAATCGAGTTAGGTAATTGTTTTCAATGCTGTCACAACCATAGATCAAACTCCATTCACCTCCATTGTACTGGGGAGGCAGCAGAAGATGGATAAATCAAGACCTGGATAAATAACACCAAAATTACTGTAGATACAACTACAGCAAGTGAGAAACGCTGAGAAATGACCCAGCAGATCTTTATCTACATACAACTAAAATGAAGAATAAGTAATACCTTCATACAAAGAAAATGTCTGGAAATTGGAACATTCTCAAAATTCATTTTGCCACAAATCTTGATGAAACAGATTTTACATTTGTGAGGCAGCACATTTCTTTAGGACTTCTGACAGTTAATGAATGAAATAAGGTTGCGCCGTCTGGCATTTAATTTATTCAAAAACGAGTCAGAATCATATATATTGCATTAAACATATAATTGTTACACCCCTAATCAATGATGAATATATATATATCCTCTCACTTCAGGACGACGTACAGTCCACCACAGCTGAATCTCCCCCCTCCTTCAAGCCTCCGCCCCCACCAGGGGTGCGGAGGCGCCCAACTAGACGAGATCAGCTCAACAAATGCCCCTCGTCCGAATCCTCCCACTCAGGCCTGTACTTCACAGCCCCGGCCTCTCACAACCACAGCAGAGAGCCCGGACACGCCCCTGCCTCGCCCTCACCACGCCACAAACAAGAACATCCCAGGGACCCGTCTTGGGACTACGCGGTCGTCAGAAAGAGAGAACCCTCGGTACCTTCAAAGAAAGAACAGATAACAGCTGCTCAGTTGTCCATGGTCTCGCAGCACAACATCGGTCCTTTCCCCAGGGTCCAGTCCCCCAACAGGGGCACAAAACCTGCTGCCCCGCCGCCTTCACCTCCACCTCCACCTCCGCCTCCACTCCCTGCTCCTCCCCCGCCCCCTTCTCTTCCCCTCAAAACAGTGTCCATGTCCAAAGCCTCCCCCTCCTCTCCTGGCTCTAAACAGCAGTTTGTTACAGTGGAGGTTCACAGGCGCAACGCAGAGCCCGACTTCAACGAGGTGCGGCCGCTGCCCCAAGCTCGAGGTGAGGGAGCACCGGAAGTAAGATGTACCACGGGGCAGATTTCTTTCATTTGTGTCCTCAAATAATAACATGCACATGTATGACTGCAACTAATTCAAATTAATATTGATATATAGATGTATCATATATATTCAATTAATTCATTTTTTATTGTCTGCAATCCAATGCATCATTTCCCCAAATATTTATTTACTTGGGCATAATGTGCTGAAATGAGCAATTACCCAGAGCACTGTATGATTTCCACTGCATGCAAACCATCACTAATCTTAAAAAGCTTTTAATCTTGTATTAAATCTTAAAATCTGATCTTTTTCAGGACATTTCTAAAAATACGGGTTGTTTTTTTCTCTTCAAGTTTAAATAGAAATCAAGAAAATAAAAATGAGAATGTTAGATTGCTTTCATATAAGAAGATTTAAAGGCCAAACATCATCATGTCACATCTGCCTGTCTACACTCAGGTGGCGCCCTGTCTCAGCTGTCAGACAGCGGCCAGACCCTCAGTGAGGACAGCGGGGTGGACATAGCTGAGTCAGGACACATCAGCAAAGACAGCAGCCCCCATTCCTCACGCACACGCCATCCCCGAGACACCCAGGGGGGTGGGGGGGGAAACCCCTCCAAACCGGTGAGGGGGTCACTCTGAACAGCTGACAGCCGAACATGGATGGATGAGTGGATTCATTTGTTAAACTCTGAGGAATAAGAGACGTATTCAACTCATTTAGGAGTCTGTGTGCTTCTGTATTTCTGTATTTGTGAAGACCAATTTGAGTGAGATTTGAAGGTGAGGACATTTCTGGAAAACACATTTAGTTTAACTAAATATGAGAACATTTTAGAAAGTAAGGACATTTTAAGTGGGACCATCATTTTTGGAAGGTGAGCATAACTTAAGAACATGAGGAAAATTTGGGAAATCAAAGATCTTTTTGGAAATTGAGGAAATCTTTTCGAGAATATGGATATTTCAGTTGTAGTAGAGTGTAGCCATATTTGAAATTTGCAAATATTTGGTCCCCACATCATCAAAGGGCTGTTTTAGGGTTAATGGGCTACTTTGCTTTGAAGTTATGGTTAGAATTTGTTTTTAATAGATGTAGAGAGTCCATTGTGATGTATCTTTGGGTCCTCACAAGTGTTGAAGTACAAATGTGTGTGTGTCATCTGTGTGCGTATCTGAAGGAAAACACTTTGATAAATCGTTGTGCTTTATTGCTAATCCTCCTCTAGAATCTGTTGTCAAACCTAACCTTGATCTCTTCTCTCCCTCTTTTTTTGCTCACGCAGACTGTTTCCTTTGTTTCACTCATTTGTCTATTTCATTCATTCATGTCATTCATTCAGTCACATGCTGTGTCATTTATGTCATCGCTCGCTCACAGTGTAGCGTTATGCAACTCTCAAAGCGCTCCCTGGTTCTTATTGATTGATGGAAGGAATAGCAAGTAAGGATGGGAGTAGCCTAACTGTTTATGATGAGAGGGCTGTTCGATTCAGTGTCCGTTTTAGAATTATCAGGCAGAAACTGTGACAGCGGAATCGACTTCGTATCATAAAAAGATGCATTTTACTGCAAAGGAGCAAAGCGTTTACTTTCTGTCTGCTGAAGAGAGAATAATGATGTGCTCATGATTACCGCCCCACATTGACCGAAAGAATACATTTGTTTTAGCCTTGTTATAGTCTACTTTTCCTTATGTCAGTCAAATCACACGACGCGTTAACTGGTGCAAAACTGTGGGTAGTTGTGAGCAAGTATGTAAATGCAGAATGACATTCAGCAATGAAGGTTCCCAGCCAGATTGCTGCCGTTATATTTTATACCTCTTAACCACTTGGCCACAAGATATTTAATATGGACATACAATCCCAGGAACATCTTTCAGGTTAACATACAGATGAAAGAAGCCTCTCAAGGAAAAAGGGTCCCCCATTGGGTTACAGGAGCCAATGGAAGAGAAGCTTTATGAGATGTGACTTAATAGTAGAAAACAATTACATAGATGCCTTGTTATAAGTGAGTAGAAATAGATTTATTTTGTCCCCTGACTTTTGAAGCTGTCAGAAGACATTATTGTTCATCCAATTTGTCACCAGGATTGAAGTCATGGCCTTTATGAATGTGTAAATCCATTGAGAAAGAGTCTTGGGCATATGTGCTCAGTGAAAACAAAGCTCTTCCTTGTATAAACACAAGCAGAACAATAAATGCACAAAGGGGATGCAGACATAGGGAGGTTGGGTAAAGTTATGGATATAATTAGGTTTATAAATATGCATGTTCTTCTGATTTGATAACTGGTGCTCCTCTGTCTTTCTCTCTCTTACTTTAGCCGGGGCTGTTGGAGCCCACCTCTACACTAGTGAGGGTGGCAAAGAGTGCCAGCACTCTGGGTATTGCCATTGAAGGTGGAGCCAACACCCGCCAGCCGCTGCCACGAATTGTCACAATACAGGTGAGTCAGGAAGAAAATAAAATGATGTTTATGATAATGGCCACTCTAGGATCACCTCTACTTACAGAGGCACTGCGTATGATCTGCCAACATGCTCCAAAGAATAGGGGGCAGCGTTTCACCTCTAACACTCGGCTCATACCATCTCAATTCACAGTCATCAGTTTAAAAGACAAAAGCTGCTAACTAACAGCAGGGCAAGAATACGCACAATTTGACCAAACTGCTGAAACTCTGAGAGACAAAATAACACTGCTGTCTTTTATTCTTCTCGTGTCACGTCAGTGTATAGTTTACCTAGCCGGGTGCTTTACAGTTTGTGTACATTTTGATGGGTTTGCGCTGGCTGAATGTGAGTTGCTACAGCTAACCCCTAACTGAAGGTCCGTCTCCCGGAGCCACCGCCCACCCTGCTCCGGGCGAAGTAGTCTCCTGGAGGGCAAGGACGACGAAACAAAAGAGTGGTTTTCTAATTTCTTTCACTTTGGATTTAATCCGATACACAAATATCTATCAACATGACTGCGAAGCCCTCGGGGCAGCTCAACTTCTTCGTCCTCTCATGTTGGACTGGGACAGACTGGACGCTACAGTGACTCACTACCGCTTCTCAAGGTGCAAGTGGTGTTATAAGACAGGATGGGCCAGGGCTAGCTGGTAAGCATGCTCATTTCACTAGATATTTCTGCAACACAACACACACACAAGACGTCTAGTCTTTGACACAACACTGTGACCTCCTCACATTCTGTGGATAATGTTAGTTCATTTTTTTAATGTTTTAATCTAACATTCTGGCCAGATCGCACACATTGCACCTTTAACCCCTCTAGCCTCATTAGCATGCAGTCGGCTCCTTGTTGGTGAATCTTCTCCTCGTATTGTTGACTGTGTTTATTATATCCTGGGTGCCTTCTTTCATTATTTCCTGCGATTCTACCATGCGCCCACCTTCCAGGTGGGATTTGATATCCTTTAAGGCTTTGTATGGATTCACACTGCAGCTGAACTCACGCTGAGATTTCTGCTAATTTTGTCCTCGTTTCTCACACAAAGATGATTGTAACATTAATGGCCTTCGTGAAAAGGCTTGACGGCCCAGATATTTGGGCAATTAGTGTTCCAGTTATGAGGCAGTTGGCAAAATGTTGATGTTTAGAATTAAAAGGCAGAATGCAGAATCGGCTGCAACACCTATGTGAGATTATACATCACCTTTTATGTAAAAGATGTTGGGAATAACATAGCCTCAAAAAGGGGGCACCATTATGTTGGGAACGTAAAGGAGCGTGTTTGGGTTATCAGCATCTAAGAAACTAAATTCTTGACATCAATAGAATTATTATAGTGTGTGTGTGTGTGTGTGTGCGCGCGCGCGTAAGGGGGAGGAGCGAGGGAACAGCTCAGCGACGTATGATGTAGTTGGGACGTAGTGACGTCTCTCATGCGTGAGACTCAAAAATGGCAGATAGCCAACAGGAGACCTGGCGTCTATACGTGCCGGTAGCCGTTTAGCACGTAGTTACATTAGCTCAAAGCTATGTGTGTGTGTTAGTAAAAGAGAAGGGAAAGGAACAAAACAAAATGAAATAAAACAAAAGATTAAGATCCTTCGCGCCACGCTGGAGTATGGAAGATTGCTCTCTCAGCCAGGGGAGCAAGAACCGCGACTCTTTGTCTCAGCCGGCGGTTTTGACCTCCTGAACTGATGAGAAGCAACTTCAACCTCACTGCGGCTGTCTCGACACGAATCACAGTAGCATTGAATACACGGTAACTTCTATACAACACTAGCAATTTCAGGGATCGCTAGTGTCGGTGATCATAAAGCATACACCACGTTATAAAAGTGAACAGTACTTTAAGCACACAAACAAGATAAAATAAACACAAATTAACTCTCTCTAACTCTGCCAAGACTCTATTTCGCCTTATGGTACGATGCAATCGTGGTGATTGAGGGGGGGTTCTTCTGAGGGGTTCTTCTGAGCTTCCGTGGGCTCGGGCAGCGCGGCTGCGGGCCGTGGGAGGTGTTCTCTCGGTAGGAGAGAATCGCTTCGTCTGGATAAGGGATTTTCGCGTCCTTATGGCCAGAGCAAACGAGGCGCTTGGTGGAGAGTGGAAGTTCTCTCTCTCTCTCTCTCTGAAGAAGTCTTGCTTCTTCACTTCTGCAGGAATAAAGGGGTTCGCTTCGTGGATACGAACAAAGATAAAATAGACAGTTTGGTGAATTCGGCCAGCGAATATAAACTGTTAGACCTAGGATTTGGTTGAAAAGGGAAACAACGTTGGTGTGCTCCCTAGCTCGTCGAAGGGAAAAAGCCTTGAGGTGGGGGTTGCAGGTAGTTTTGTAGAACAGTGGCTGAACCACAGGGGTCCTGGGTTGTCTTGGCTCTCGGCCAATTAGATTGCAGCGGCGCATTCAGGTAACTTCAGGAACACATAGTTTTTTGGGGGGAGGAAACTCACACCCTAATGTGAATTTCTTCAGAGCTGGGGGTTTGGTGCTCAAACTACAATCAGGATGAAACCTTTGCTTGCAAAAGGGAAGGCCTGACTCTCTTTGTTCCACAGCACATGTCGAAGCCATACAATCAGATCCCAACATCCCCCCTTTGGCCTGAAGAGCGAGGTGTTGGCCACGGTCGTTAGGGCAAACCAAGGACTGACGTGGGCTTCCATGTGGTGTCATACAGTCCATGTAGTTCTGAGAGCACAAAAGGTTAAACAGTCCATGTAGTTGTGGGAAGAAAGGGATGGTTTAACAGTCAGTGTTCATAGTTCATAGAGGCTCAAGATGTCTGGGCAGACGCTAAGGCAGCATCTGGGCAGATGACTAACTAAACTACATTAAACATATACACAAATCATAGGTAAGCAAGGCATTATTTCTAATACACTCAATTGCTACATCATGATCTTGTGATAACATCTGCACTGTAGCATCGTAGGTCAAAAACGAAATGAAAGCAGAGAAATGCAAACAAACAAAACGGAAAGGTGGTTAGGTAGGTTAGTGTGATGGTTGTGTCATGGTCTACCTAACTCTAGATTTGGATTTACCTATCACCCCCCTGGGTCTGCTGGGATGGCCCAACGGACCGGTTCCTGTCCCCTAGAGGTGTGTACCAAAAAACCCTTTTTCATTTTACAGTTTAGTTGTACATAATGGCGAGCTCGCAGCTCTTCCGATTCGAGCAGCGGTAGTGGTCGGGACCCTTTTCGCATGGGTTTCAACTCCGGCTGTCGAATGGTTGGAAGGGCTGGATCTCGTGGGCGGTCAAATCTGCACTACTATTATTCACCGCGCAAGGTTGTGAAATTGGGGGCCAATTGTTCTGGGGTACCCAGGGTGTCCCCTGTTCCGTTGCAGGCTGGTTGACTGCAAGGGAGAGGTCAGAGTGTCGTGTGTCTTTGTTCTGAGCGTTTTTCAGCGAACAAAGGGAAGACTTCTGGTTCGGGACATGGTTTTGGGTGGCGGATTTTGGCGGTTGTAAGCATGCAGGCGGACTGGGTGGACTAGAGTCAGGAGCAGGCTCTGGGAGGGGCATTGGCATCGGTTGTCTATGTTCCTGGGTGATGGTGACTTGTCCGTCTGGAACTGGCCCACGGCTGGCAAAGTTTAGTGGCTTTGGGTCGTCCACCGGTGTCCGGAGTGTGGTAAAGCTCTTTACCGCCTCCGTCACACGTTGGTGTCTAAGACTCTTGATCTCTGGGTCTAAACTTGCTCTTACGGAGTGGGTTTGGGACTTAAGATTTCGTTTGAACCTAATTCTCTTTTTAGGGTGAGATGTCTTCTGATGCCATGACTCACGATTTTCTGGATCGAAGCGTTCTATGTCGTTCGCAAGAGACTCAAGCTGACGGATATGCAGACCCTGCGCGCGGAGAGGGCCTGGATCATCAGAGTGGTCTGGATTAGCATAGTCGTTTAAGACGACATAGCAGTGAGGACGACTAACCTCTCGACGTGTGGGGGAGGGGCTCCGTTTCAGGTGCATGCATGGACTACACGGGATGTTTTGTTCACCTGTGGATGTGGGTTTGGAACCACTAATGCCACTCGGGGCCTGGGAGTAGCCCCACCTCCTCCTGTCAAAATGCAAAGTGGGGAGTGAGACACCTGGATCAAGCACGCAAGCAGACTGGGGTGCTCAGTCGCTGTCCCTGGTGGTGTGATGAAGAACTACACCACTAGACGCTGCTAAGCTCCTAGCAGTGGTCTTCAAGGTGACTGTAGTGGCTTGTCCACTCAGTCGAGCCTCATCAAGCCTTTGGGCTTGTCTGACTATGTCAGGGCGGAGGCCTATCATGGGGTCGGGGATTGCGACAGCAATACTTACCAGACCCCCCTGAGGTTCTTCATGCCAGGTCTTAGTGCTTCTCTGAGCAGC